CCTCTGTAAAGTCAACTGCCACTGTTAGGACCATCAGACAGATACCCAGACTCCTCCCCGCACACACGAAAAAAGGGAAAAAATAAATTATCTCATCTTCTCCCACTTCTGATTTTGCTGTAGTGCCTCTTACTGGAAGTGCATATTAGGAAATCTGATGGTGAAAGAGACTGTAGTTTGCAGTATCTGATCCCTGATATTACAGAGTTAAATAATAAATGTTGGTTTTGGAGCTGAAAAATAATCAATAAAAATTAATATTTTCTGACATTTAGTATTATTTCTTTGTATTCATTATTATAGATATGTCTATTTGACTATTTTAGGCCATGAAATGTAAGTAGAAATCCTGTGTCACTTATTAATGGCAGTATATAATGGCCTCTATGTTTATTTTCTACCTTATTTTCCTCCTGACAGTTGTTGATTATGTTTAAATTAGATTAACTTGGGTCCTGACCGGAGCAAGATGTAGAACAGAGTCTTTAGCTGGCCTTCACTTTATATGTGTTGGGAATGAGAAATAACTTTGGTTTAAGCCATTGAATTTTTTTTATATAAACCAGTAACATAGGTGTTTATTATCATTATCAAATATGCACAGTACATAATTGTATGTGCTATACTTTTATCCAACTGGTAGTGCAATAGATTTGTTTATACCAGCATCACCATAAACACATAAGTAATGCATTGTCACACAACCTTACAGCAATGTTGTACTGCATGCAATGAATGTGGTTCAGTAGTGATGATGGCGACATTCCTGGGTGACAGGAAAATTTCAGCTCCATTATAATATGATTGGGACCATCATATATGCAGTCCATCATTCACAAACATTTTATGCAGTGCAGGACTTTTATACACACACACACACACACACACACTTATAGTTAGCTATTATGTATTTTCAAATGTGTTTTCCTTTTTCTTTTCTTTTTTTTTTTTTTTTTGTTCTTTTTTTGAGACAGAAACTCACTCTGTTGTCCAGGCTAGAATGCAGTGGTGCAATCTTGGCTCACTGCAGCCTCCGCTTTCTGGGTTCAAGCAATTCCCTTGCCTCAGCCACCTGAGTAGCTGGGATTGAAGGCGTGCACCACCATGCCCAGCTAAGTTTTGTATTTTTAGTAGAGATGGGGTTTCATGTTGACCAGGCTGGTCTAGAACTCCTGATCTCAGGTGGTCCACCCACCTCGGCCTCCCAAAGTGCTGGGATTACAGGTGTGAGCCACCCCGCCTGGCCTTAAATGTTTCAACTTTAATTATAGAATAAAGGGTCCATGTGCTGGTTTGTTACAGGGATAAGTTGTGTGACGCTGATGCTCGGGGTGCCAACAATCCCGTCACACTGAGGTAAGCACAGCACCCAACAGGTAGTTCTCCAGCCCATGCTGTCCTCCTGACTACCCCAAATAGTGACTTCTAGTGTCTGTTCTTTCTTTATGGTTAGTCAATTACCCCAACACCATTTTTTTGAACACGGAGTCCTGTCTACATTGCCTATTTTTGTTGATTTTGTTGAAGATTGGATAGTTGTAGGTGAGCAACTTTATTTCTGGGTGATCTATTCAAGATTACTCGGTTGCTGGCAGAATCACATTTTCTGTGGCTGTAGAATTCATGGAAGCTGTTTACTTCAAAGTCAGCAATGGAGAGATACACTATAGCAAATTGGCAAGCAAGAGTCTTTTATAATATAACATAATCATGAGTGTCAATGCATCATCTTGGCCATGTTGCATTGTTTAGAAGCAAGTCACAGGCCCTGCCCACACTTCTGGAGAAGAGATTATACAAGGCCATGAACACAAAGAGTTGGGTACTATGGGGACTACTTTAAAGTCACCTGCTACACCTTGGAAAAAAGATGTGTTCCTAGAAGCTTGTTGGTGAAAGTAAACAAACAAACAAAAAAGTATCTGAAACACTGAAATGGAAACATACTGAATATAACATGGAGAAAATATTAGAAAAGAAATGTATTAATATTTGGTTAGAAAATATTGTCCTTCTTTGAAAGTTCTCTTGAAATAAGACAGTCAGCCTAAGCCTCCAATATTTTTCCTTCATTCTAATAGATTCAGCTCCTATAGCAAGTCCAGGTAAATACAAACATATAATCCTAAAAATGAAAATAATTTGAATCCAGTATCCATAACAAACATACTGTAAGAAAAAGATTAAAAATGAGAATGAATTCAGTAGTTGTAAACAATGTACTAGGTCCAAATTGTCTAATATAAACTTTGCTTTCTTTGTTTTCTAATGTGAAAGAAACAATACTTAAGGAAGTCTTTAGATAATCAATTTCATGAGATTTATGTTTACATTATACTTTCTATTTTTACTGTGTCTTAATGGTGTGCCTATATACTAGTTAAAATATGCCATATTTTCTTTATTAACAAATAAAACACTTGAATAGCACATTTTATATCCTAGGGTCCTTTTCTTGTTCTATTTTCTGCTTCTTCACACGCTTACATGTAATTGAATTATATTATCTTGGCAGACATTTATTTCAGGTTAAAATAAAACTATGTTGACAATACATCCAAAATAATTATAATACTGTTATATCCTCACTGCCGTAGTTTTCATTATACACCTCCCTAACATTTAAAGATTAAAAATAATAATTTCCAAAGGATGCTTAATTAAAATTATTCAACATAACCTCAATGTGCATTCATCACTACCATCTCTCTCCAGAGACATTTTAATTCTGTTTTACTGCAACAGTCTCCTATGAATATTTTGAAGGAGAAAGAAAAAGGCTGCTAAAAACAGTCTGTGTTGAGAGAATACTATAAAAAAACAAGTTTTCCTGCGGGAAGGTGAAGAAAGGAAAAAAAATAGTAACAACAGATCTTTTTTTTCACAAGAGTTACTGAGAGTCACTTAAAATATTATATTAGAAAGTTTTCATAGTATCCAGGCTCAGGACATTGTTATTTTCACGGAAATTTTGGGGAGAAAAAAGAGATACTGAATGCCTAGTTGAAGAATCCTTTTACACTTCAAGGATATTCCGTCCCAAAGTTCCGTCCCAACGTTCCGTCCCAACTGTTTTCATTCATATGCCATGCAGTTCATCTTTTCCACTGGTGGTGTTTTTGGATTCTTACTTGTGATTTGAACCCTCTCCTTCTGATGATCTAAGAACTTCACTTAATTAACAAGTAAAACACACAACTTCATCATCTCTGTTTACCGATTTCCCTGTAAGTATTGTCCTGATTCTAACAAGGATCCACATTTCCTTCCTTCCTTCTTTCCTTCCTTGCTTGCTTCCTTCCTTCCTTCCTTCCTCCCTCCCTCCCTCCCTTCCTCCCTGCCTCCCTCCTTCCCTTCTTCCCTCCTTCCCTCCTTCCCTCCTTCCCTCCTTCCCTCCTTTCTTCCTCTTTTTGTTTCTGAGAGTCTCATTGATTGACACTCCAGGAAAGCTTGATCTTTCCTGGAGTGTCAGCAGAGTCTGCATCCAGAGTCTGCTGTAACCAGATGCAAACTGCCCATTTTGCTACTGCCCTTTCCCACTTCCACAGCCTCTAGCTTTACTACTAACAACAAACTAGTACTAGAGACGTTGTTACTCAGTGAGTTTCAGACTTTCAGACTTTTGCCGCTGATTGAGACACCCAGATTTTTCACCGTATTGTCAGCTCTTTCCTGGATCTCCAGCTGCAGGACCTTTTGGATACTTTACCGGTTGTAGCACCTCTGAACAGCGACTGGCACTATGTCACCTATCAGGGCCTCTCCTACTTCTGGAAGAGAAAACAGAATTTTCAGCTGGACTTATTCCTACATTATGTTCCATCTCACTGTACATAACCAGGTTCATCTTTCCAAATTCCATCTCCTCATTATATAAGTATGTTATTATGTAAGAAAATTAAAGGCAGAAACGAGTTGTGAAGCTTATGAAATGTTCCCAAAGTAAAGCATCAAACACTGATGCCAGTTAAAGTAAAACCACATAGCATTTGGGTTTTAGCAGTTAAACTGCTGCCACGTGGAATTATATTATTGTAAGTATATTTTCAATTACTTGCCTCATTTTTTTCCATTTTTCTAATTAATTTATAACTTAGATGACTTAACTTTGGCTGTTAGAATATCTTCTATAGAATAATATTTAATTAGAAAGAAAAAACTTTGAAAAATTCTGTTGGTATTTTAGTATTATAGAAATATTAGTTTGATGGTCCTGATTTATTTATAAATTATTAATTCTCTAGGCAAGACTGAAATTAAATATCTTGAAATATTATGGAAAATAACTTTTAAAAACACTTCAAAATGTTCTATTTTCAGACAATCAAGACATGTGATCCTTGGTGTAGTATCTTAATAATAACAAAAGAATATTTTACATTTTGATGTTTTTTGTGTTTCTAGTTTTCGTATACATATGATCAAATTTTTTTTTTCTTTTTGAGATGGAGTCTTGCTGTGTCACCCAGGCTGGAGTGCAGTGGTGCAATCTTGGCTCACTGCAACCTCCGTCTCCTGGGTTCAAATGATTCTCCTGCCTCAGCCTCCCAAGTAACTGGGATTACAGGCACCTGCCACCATGCCAGGCTGATTTTTATATTTTTAGTAGGAACAGGGTTTCACCATGTTGGCCAGGCTGGTCTCGAACTCCTGGCCTCAAGTGATCTGCCTGCCTCGGCCTTCCATAGTGCTGAGATTACAGGTGTGAGCCATTGTACCCAGTCAATCAATTTTTTTAAGAGAAAGTAAAACACAGTTGGTAAGCATATTTTTCTTATTTATTAAATCTATCAAGTAACACACTCAATATTAAATGGCTAGTGACCAGCAAGGCAAGTACCAGACATAGATTTATTTTTGTTATGGTTAACACATATTGTTATAATTCAGTATAACTTGGTTGGCTGATTTTTCTTTTGGTTTATTATAGGCCTTATATGTTTTCTAACCCAGCAGATGTGATAAAATGTGACCCTGAACTCACTAAATCATTGTTTCTTGTTTTCCTTTATAGACCTGGTAGCAGTCAACAATAAGCAATGAGAAATTACACATCTGTGAAACAGTTCATTCTTCTGGGATTATCAGATGACCCAAAGCTGAATGTTTTGATTTTTATATTTCTATTTTCTACATATATACTGAGTATAACTGGGAACCTGACAATTATTACCCTCACTTTGATAGATGTGCACCTAAAAACGCCCATGTACTTTTTCCTTAGGAATTTCTCTTTTCTAGAAATCTCATTCACAACAGTTTGTATTCCTAGGCTTCTGGTCAGCATCATAACAGGGGATACGACCATTTCTTATAATTCTTGCATGGCCCAGGTGTTTTTCTTTATACTCCTCGGTTCAACAGAATTTTTCCTTTTGACTGCTATGTCCTATGATCGTTACGTTGCTATCTGTAAGCCACTGCACTACACAACAATAATGAACAGCAGAGTCTGCATCCAGCTTGTAATTAGCTCTTGGCTAGCTGGATTTCTCATTATCTTTCCACCTGTGATCATGGGGCTTCAACTGGATTTCTGTGACTCCAACATCATTGATCACTTTACCTGTGATTCCTCTCCTATGCTACTGATCTCCTGCACAGACACAGCCTTTCTAGAGTTCATGGGATTTTTCCTGGCCATATTCACTCTCATGGTAACCTTAACATTAGTGACTCTTTCCTATGTATTCATCCTTAAGACAATTCTGAGACTTCCTTCTGCTGAACAAAGGAAAAAGGCCTTTTCCACTTGTTCTTCACACATGATTGTTGTCTCCATTTCTTATGGAAGCTGCATTTTCATGTATGTCAAAACGTCAGCAAAAGAAGGAGTGGCTTTGACCAAGGGTGTAGCGGTGCTCAATACCTCTGTTGCCCCAGTGTTAAATCCTTTTATTTACTCCCTAAGGAACCAGCAGGTAAAACAGTCCTTTCAGAACTTGATCAACAAATGTTTTTCAAATAAATTTTAGTCACAAAGGAATGTATAGCCTGAACTTGAAATGGAAACTTATCTGTAACATAATACTGACATTGTTCTATATCTCCATCCAGTACCATTAATATATTCAACTATTTTTCCTTCACGATTTTTTCTTCTATCCCATTTTGACCTCACTTGGCTTGATAACCCATTTATATTTACATGCTGTGAACATTTAGGTGTTGTGTTTTCTTGTTTGTTTGTTTGTTTTTTGAGATGGAGTCTCACGCTGTTGCCCGGGCTGGAGTGCAATGGTGCGAACTCGGCTCACTGCAACCTCTGCCTCTTGGGTTCAAGTGATTCTCCTGCCTCAGCCTTCTGAGTAGCTGGGATTACAGGCACCTGCCACCATGCCCAGCTAATTTTTTGTATTTTAGTAGAGACATGGTTTCACTATGTTGGCCAAGCTGCAGAATTTAGTTTTAAACAATCATTGAAAGACTTTCCCTTTGATTACCAAGAAAAAAACTTAAAAAAAAAATTACCATCAAGCAATTCTGAAAGATTATTTATCCCAGTGCATTAGCACAATGTACCAAAATAAGTTCTTCTGTGAGGTGAAGTCTTCTACCTCTAGTATATTTATATTTCTCCTTTAATCTCCTTTGGTTTTTGCATTATGTTTACATATGCTATGTGATACATTGGCATTCTATGTCTTCAATGTGAATTCCATTCTTTAATATTATAAAATATCTTGCTCGATGTCTTTTCTTGGCTCAAATGCCAAAAGTACTTCAAGTCCGGTTCTGATATTTCTGTTAGGCCCCAGTACTCTTACCACAAAGCACCCTTAATGAACTACACTGATGATAGCCCATTTCTTTCTGTTAATTTGCTCATGCTGGGTCAGGAGTTTACCTGCAGCTCCTTTGAAAAGAATCTGGCTTGCCTTTCTCTCTTTTGATTTTACTAGCCCTTTAAACCCCTGTGCTTTCTATCTCCCAAGTGGTTCTTAAAATTTCTAGTATACTAATGACACTCTCGACTGTATTTATATGGTTGCATTCTTTTTAAAAAGTTTTGATATTTTTATAGACAATGCAGAGTATGGGATTAAGTATGTTTACACTGCCTGCACCTTGATATAAACTTTTCCTATAAGAGGTTCTTAATGATAGTTATACACTTGTAAGAATAAAAATGTGTTTAGTATTTATCAATTTGCTTTTTTCCTATCTTCTTCCACAAGCAATGCATGAACACATGAAATCATTCAATTTACTATCAGATCACTTTTCCTTAATATGTATTCAAATTCCTAGTTCTTGGGTTCTCTTTTCTCCCCCATTTAAAAAATGAGTTATTCAAACAAGTGTTTGTAGAAACAAGGTTACATGTAATCAAAAGCAGATGAACGAAGACTAACACATTCAATCTGAGAGAGAGTATGAATGTCATTTAGTCTAAAATAGCCATATGATATTTGCATCTGTGTATCTGAGCAAAATGATTTACTACATCTGCTTATACGAAGTGTTTTGTTAAATTGGTAATAAGTTCAGTTAGAATTGATAAGAATACTGGACTCCTTTAGGCATCATAGAGCTAAATATTCCAGCTAATCAAAAATTACATTTTTATTTCTCGTTGCTTTACAAAGCTTTTTATTTTTCTGGTAGTTGTTTAGCATATTCTATGCAAATCTGAATTTGCTTTGCATCTATTGATGTGGATATGGCTCAAGCAATGTGATGCTCAATAAAGGCCAGATCCTTCAGTGCATGTGGGCAGAGAGAAAGGATATGCTGTGTAATGTTTAACATCCAGTCCTCCAAAAAATAAAAACCTGACATAATTATAAATTTTAGTGTCAATTCTATATACCCAATTGATTTTCATGCAATATTTTATTGACTTTTACCAAACTTATGTTCATAAGCAATTTATTTTTGCAATTCAACCGCAGTTTGACAAATGGAATTGTACTTCAATCTGCGAACTCTTTTTCTATAAATTTACTGTTATTAAATCTGAGAATTAATGAGTTTTGAATTACATTAATTTTAAATATAATTTATTTAATTACTAGTTTTTATAATTTATATTAGAATTATGTATGACTTTTAAAAATAACTGCCTGCCAAAAGTCCTAAAAACTAAATGTAATGGAATCTTTAGGGTGTCACTTTTCTGGCTGGAAACTTCTGTGGCTAGTGGCACCTTTGCCTGAGTTCTTGCCGTGAGTCCAGGAGAATGAGGTACGCATACAAGTGGAGGGTGAGCAAGATGAAGAGAAGCTTTATTGAGTGATAGAACATCTCAGAGGAGACCAGCAGGGGGCGGCTCCTCTCTGTAGGCAGGTTGTCTCATCCAGGGTTCAACTCTCAGCAGAGACGAGGCCCTGAATTGGGAGGCTCCTCTCTGCCGTCAGGTCGTCTAGTGGTCTCTGCAGCTCTCAGCAGAGTGGGTAGCTCCTCTCTTCAACTGGTCCTCTAGTCATCTCCAGCTATCAGCAGAGAGGGTAGCTCCTCACTTCAACCAGTCCTCTGGCCATCCTCTCCATCCTCTGCCCCATTCTGGCTGAGCCCGGGGCTTTTATGGACCCCAGAGGAGAGGAAGTACATGCAGATTGGTCCATGGGCAGCCATCAGCAGCAGAAGAGGCACGACAAGTTCCCACTCCAGTCTGCCGTCTACAGGACTGGCAGCCCGGTGCCCAGTCTTCAGGCCATCCCTGGCCTGAAGGTGGGGCCTTACAGGGGCACCACCCCCTTCCTCCCAGTAGCCTGTCTGCCTACAGTAGCTATCCATGGCACCCAGACTGGTGGCACCAAGGGGCACCTGCAAGCCAGCACCCAGACGCCCCCACCACCCCTCAGCTTCTCCTCCTGTGCTACTCTGCACCCAAAGTCCAGAGGGGGCCCAGTCCACTGGGGGCTGGCATGTCAGCAGTGCTCCCAGCATGAGCATACCCGGCCAGACTGTGACAGCGCCTGGGTCAGCCCCAACACCACTCCGAGATCTGAGCGGGCATTAGGAGCGGGGAGAGGACAGGCAGCAGGAGCAGGCACCTCCTAGCCTGCAAAGGCAAAGAGAGCCTTCCCAGGCCATCCAAGAGTGCGGGGATTGCTGGGCGTGCAGCCCAGGTTTGGACGGCTACAGCCGCGCTGAGGGACCAGGCTCCTGCCTGCTCCGTGGAGCCAGAGTCCCAGGTCTACAACCCTGGTTTAGGCGGGCACCCGGGAAGCTCCTGCCCCAACTCGGAATGGGCGGGGCTGTCACTTGTCCTGGACTCCCGCCGGCTCCACTGAGCGTGTAGCCCGCTGTGGCACCTCCCTGCTGCAGCCGGCTTGAGGACAGCAGCTGCTGCCATCATAAACACTGTAGCATCATCCTCTATACTCAAAATTCAGAATAGAAAGGGTTATATTAGGTCATCGACTAAAAAGTGTACCCACCCTACACCTCAATTTATTTTTTGTTCACTATGCACATTAAACCAATTTTCCATCTTTCTTTATATCATGCTACTAAATGTACACTTTAAAGTAGTATTTTGATCTGCAAGTAACCATCTTCCTATAATAAATAATATTATAACAACCTCTTTATTAAAGCATACTTACAATGTTTTCTCAAGTTCTTGGCTTTAATCGTGGCTAATTAAATATTATATACTTCGAACTTAAAGTAGCTGTTATACTTTAACAATTTTTTCTTCATATGCCATCCGTATTATTTAATTATATACCTTTAATAGTTTTGTTGTAACTTTATTTTACAAACATTAAACATCTTGAAATCTTTAAGAAGTATCTAACATCTTATGACCATTAAATAATCTTAGTTCTGATTTAATTTAAAATACTTATAAGTTTGATGGAGTTCTTGGATTAAATATCAACTAAATATGTCTCAAAATAACTAGTGTAAAAGGGATATTATAGATGTCTTTTTATATCAAAGCAGAGGATAGTGAATTGACATCTGTGGGAAAATTGTTGACTGGAAATAGGAAGAAGGGATTATGAGATTTAACAAATAATATAGCCTTCTAATGGTATTCCAGAAGATGTAAAAACTATGCAAGCAGCTAACTTTATCATGACTGTGTTCTATTACCCAAGAGTGAGCTCAATACGTAATAAATATTTTAAAAGTTATCTAATAAATAAGCAGTAATTTTTATTACAATCATATTTTCTACATTTTCAATCAGTGGGAAAACATAAAACCTTAAAGACAATCTTGACATTTGATTCAGTGTAATGAGAACCTTGGCCTAAGTCTAGAACATCACAATGAATTTTTGACATTTTCCTTAAGATTAAAGATAGACCTACTTGTTCACAGCATAGTCTGTGTCATCTAGAGGCTGCCAATATCTAGTACTCCACTATTAAGTTTCTTCTCATTGTAAAGTTATAAGATATTTATGAATCTGTAAATCTTCCTACATCTTCTGCTTTGTTTTTAGGCCACTATTACCTAAGTATTCTATTCTAAAATGTGTGTTAATTCAGACTATTGTTTAGCTCCCAGTGTCTTGAGAACACTAATCTCCTTTTGTTTATTCATTTAATAAATCCTGAGGTAGTAATATTATTATTCAAGCCAGCCATTATTCTGTTTCCTCCATTCAGAGGAATATTAATAGGAACATTAAGAGAATATGCTAGCCATTATTGTTTTCTCTATTTAGAGGAATAGTAAAAGGAATATTAATAGAATAAGCAAGCCATTATTCTGTTTCCTCCATTTAGAGGAAACAGAGCTTAAATAATAAGCTTTGCAGCTATCCTCCATGTAGAGGAAACAGAATAATGGCCAGCTTGAATAATAATATTACCACACCCAAAATATGATCTTGCGTATCAGGCTTGGGGAGATGTTACCTTCACCTCTACTTCAACTATAATTTATTTCATTGTAAATGCCAGGATAATACTTCCTTCAGTAGAAATAGGTAGAGTATCCAACGACTTCAGACCCTTAGAGAAATTTGACTGGATGTGCAGAAATGGGTGCCCTTCTTGTGAACATAGTAGAGGTACTCCTGGGATTTTTATTTTCTGTCCATATATTGAATATTTGGTTACAAATGCAAGGAAATGCAAGGAAGAAGAAACAGAACAATATGCAGAGATTTTTTG